CGTGTCCTAAAGGATGCAGTCCTCACCCAAATCATAATCAGGGAAACTGGGACTTCTCTGTGACAAACACCACCATGTAGCTAATAAAAATGTTAAAGACACAAATGTATGTCAGATAATATATGAAAGAGGAAAGCACATGGCACATGATCACTGGTGACAGCCAATTTCAAACATGCACACTCACAAGGATCAGAAAAAAGGAGATGACAAATATTTGGCATTCTGAGGTTTCTAGGTTTTAATTTTCTAAATTTGCTAAAATCCCTAGTTTTTTTTGGAAAAGTACATACTGTATACCTTGCCATGCCAATTTATTCTCACCTCCTTTAAAATCTAGACTAACTTAGGAGCTCTGCCCAACATATGTCTGGCCACAGCAACTACTGCAATACAGCAGGACCTTCTTTGTTTACTTTAACTGATTCCATCTCATTTTGCACAGTAATATTTGTGCTATTACACTATTAAATTTGTGAAATCAGGGATCAGTCTCAAAAACTTGTATATCCGCCGGGCGGATTACGCCTGTAATCCTAGCACTCTGGGAGGCCGAGGCAGGCGGATTGTTTGAGCTCAGGAGTTCAAGACCAGCCTGAGCAAGAGCGAGACCCCCGCCTCTACTAAAATTAGGAAGAAATTAATCAGACAACTAAAAATATATAGAAAAAATTAGCCGGACATGGTGGCACATGCCTGTAGTCCCAGCTACAGGAGGCTGAGGCAGTAGGATCACTTGAGCCCAGGAGTTTGAGGTTGCTGTGAGCTAGGCTGACGCCACGCACTCACTCTAGCCCAAAAAAAAAAAAAAAGTGGGATACAGAATGTGGTCCAAAAACTTTTCCAAAATAAAATACCAACTGACAGTGATGCTACTGGGAAAGTGGCCTCCTGCCTAGGAAGACACTATTTCAAATGAAATGCTACCTCTGAAGATTTAAAGGAACTACTTCAGCTTTTGTTTTTCAAAATCAAAAACCTTCAGAGATTTTTTTTAAACACATGAAAATACTAAAAGTTGTATAAAAACAAACAGTAAGTAGGGAGAGGAGGGGGACCTCTCCATCCTGGAACTGATGCTTTTTGTATCATAACGCCATAGACCAAATTAGCTGGACTCTAGTAACTACTGCCTACATGGTTTGCTGAGTGAGCAACTGAAGCTGAAATCAAACTGCCCACTTACCTTAGGATAAAGGCATCCTTCAAACACGTAAAGCCAATGAAATGATAAAGAACATAAAACTCTAAAGAGAAGAGCCCAAAACATGGTTCTTACAGGCTGAATTATTTTCAGAGACAAACTCAATAAAATGTGGTCAAACATACACAACTGTTTTGTGACACGGCAGGAAGCAGAAGCAGGAAACCAGGGCTCTAGCCCCACTCTGGCCCTGGCCACTCGTGAGATCTCGACAGATGTCCTGTTGGGTACTGGGGCTGAGGTACGCACCCCACCTGGCCAGCCTTGCTGCGACTCCAGACTCTGCCCACCACCAACTCCACGGTCAGATTCCAGGACGCTCAGCCCTTTCCTCAGGAAGCTGTGCCTTCAGTGGAGGTAGAATTCTCAGGATTTGGAGAAAACACTTCTGATCCTCCCCCTTAACAAAAATCAACCAAAGACAAGAGCAGGAAAGAGAAACAAACTCCATCTAGGAGACATGTGAAACCTCTACACAGACATGAACAGGAAGACGGAGGGTGGAGAAACGCTGAAGCACCCCACAGAGCAGAGGAAGGAGGAACTTAAATCAGGGTTGCTGCTTGAGAAGCAGGCCGACTGGGAAGACGGATCGGGAACGTACCGCAGCTGCAAAGGGGAGTGGGTATAAAAATCCACGTGAGAACAGCTGGACTCCAACGTCCCCTCCTGCACACTGAGGCAAGTCCTCCTCTTCTGTAGCCACTGGACACCAGAGGTTCAGCCCTGTAAAAAATTCCATCAAAAACGCACCGCACTTGGGGAAAGCAAGCAAAGAAAGGCAGGAGTGAGCTCCTCAGCTGAAAACAAGGCGATCAGGGAAAGGCTGTGTACTGAGCTATGGAAGAGCCTCTTCTTGCCCGAGCCCTTTAACCAGGTTGTGTAACATCCGTCTTACACCCGCAAGGCAAGAGAGTGAGGGATCCACCAGGCACAGGAGCTCCCACCTACAATCCCAGCACGAGGGAGGATCCCTTGAGACCAGGACTTCGAGACCATCCTGAGCAACATAGCCAAAACCTAACTCTAAAAAATTTTTAAATTAGCCAGACATAGTGGCGCGCATCTATAGTCCCAGCTACTCAGGAGGCTGAGGCAGGAGGATCGCTTGAGCCCAGGAGTTCCAGGTTACAGTGAGCTGTGACTGTGCCACTGTGCTCCAGCCTAGGGGACAGAGCAAAACCCCGTCCCTAAGAAACAGGAACAATGGCAAGGGAGCAAATGAAATAACAGCAGCTTATCATTGCCCTACAGTGAAAGCAACAAGTCAACAAGCCCCTCGAACAGTCAGCTTTCCATGTTTAGTGCTTTATTCTTACAGGTGACTAAACGGTCAAAGATCACCAGACATTGGAAGAAGGTTTCCATCATGAAAGAAAGACCAAGAGATAAAGCAGCAAAGAGGTATGCAGGGCAAGCACAAAAAATGAAAGAAACAAAATTTTTGAAATAATTTAACTGTAATTTTAGAAATTTAACTATAATTAAAAGACATAAGATATACATAAAACAAGAACAGGAGATACTAAAAAAGTAATAGGGAACAGTAAAGAACATAAAAATATAATAGCAGAAAAATTCAGTTAAAAAATAGTCAAAAGGCTGGGCGCAGTGGCTCACGCCTGTAATCCTAGCACTCTGAGAGGCTGAGGTGGGAGGACTGCTTGACCTCAGGAGTTCAAGACCAGCCTGACCAAGAGCGAGACCCCATTTCTACTGAAAATAGAAAGAAATTAGCCAAACAACTAAAAATAGAAAAAATTAGCCAGGCATGGTGGCACGTGCCTGTAGTCCCAGATACCTGGGAGGCTAAGGCAGGAGGATTGCTTGAGCCCAGGAGCCTGAAGTTGCTGTGAGCTAGGCTGACACCATGGCACTCTAGCCCAGGAAAGAGAGTGAGACTCTGTCTCAAAAAAAAAAAAGTCAAATATGCTCTCAAAAAGTACAAGACTAAGACATAAGGAGAAAACATTTTAAAAATTAGAAGACTAAATACAGGAAGTCCAACATTTAACCAAAGGAAATGGAGAGAACACAGAGAAAGCAGAAGAGAATGAACTATCTCAAATACATCATACGAAAATTTCCCATAACGAAAGGGCATCAATCTCCAGATTTCACAGCTAACAGTAAGTAACCTACATGATAAATGAAGAAAAGCTAGCACTAAGCACATGATAAACATTAGGAAAATCAAGGATGCTAGGATCCTAAAAGTTTGGTGGGAGAATAATGTTCACAAAGGATTAAGAATCAAAGTGGACTTTTCAAGAGCAACAATGGAAACCAGACAATATAGGAGCCATGCCTTGAAAACACCTTCCAACCTGGAATTTCACGCCTAGCCAAACTTTTTCTTCAAGTGTGGTGGTAGAATAAGCACATTTTCAGACATGCGAGCCCCGAAAGTTTGCCTCCCACTGCCTCCTCCTTGGTAAGCTACTGGGGAACGGGCTCCACCAGCACGAGGGAGTGAAGACACAGAGAGCCGCCAGACGCGGGAAAGGCGGGCAGAATCCCAGGATGAGAACGTGCACTCTGGGGCAGGGTGAGCAGGGGAGAGAGCATGAGATCTTCATCTGCCATTAGTGGAAGTCCTTAGACAACCCCTAAAATTGGTGAATGAAGACATGACAACACAAGCATATACCTAGGAAACATGAAGTAAACGCTAAGGAGTTCCACGTAGCTGCTGCCTCTCTAGAAAGGCAGATGACAGCAGCTTTTGCTAACGTCTTTTAGCACTGACTGAGTTTTTAAACTATGGGCAGGTACATACCTTATTCTAAGAACCAAAAAATAAGGAAGAGATACACAGCCAGCCTGGTAGGAAAGTATAGTATTTGCCTGAGAAGGCTTCCCACTGAAAGAGGACATTCTACTGAGACAAAAGCCTCAAATCGAGTGCACCACCCTGGGCTCTAATCCTCGATTACCCTGGAATTATTTAAACCTCGGTAGCCACCATTTACTAATCCACAAAATGGGGAATGGAGGACGTATTCCACTACCTTAGTGGTTCCTTTTAGTGTGAAAATGTATTGACTATCTTTTGTAGGTCAAGGAAAAGGAAAAACAGATATTCGGTTAGGTAAGTTTCAAGTGCCAACTTTGCTGGTTTAATCATTCGGCAATTAGTGAACTCTGACCCGTAACCATTTCCCAGATTTGGTGGCAACAGTGATCCCATGCCTACCTACCGTCCAGGGGGCCAGAGGTGCTGGACTGCACACAGGAGGGCCCCTCCCCCTATCACACACAGGCGTTATGAACCCTTAGAATCATGAATCCAAAAACAGAGCTTTTATTAACCTAAAAATGACCATCACAGATGTAACACATCTTTAGCAAACAAGAGCTGGAAAGCCAGACCACCTGCATATTAATTCTCCACAAGCTCTTGGGCCTCACTGTGCCTGTGTCCGCATCTGCAAATGGGGATATAACAGTACCTACCCCATTAAGACTGCTGTGACGATTCAGCAAGTGAATTCGCACAAAGCCAGCCGCCAGGGCTGGACACAAGTGAGGGCTCAGTAAACACAGGCTGTCATTATCATCAGCACTGTCAAGCCCTCTATTCAAGGCTGCCTGTGGAACCAGACACATCTGGAGCCACTCACTCATCGCTCATTTATGAAACACCTACTATGTGCCCAACATGGGACAAGTGCTAGTCCCACAACTGACTAGGCCAAGTTAGTTAACCCCTTCCAAGTCTTGTTTTCCTCATCTGCTAACAGGAAAAAATAGCACCTGCTGCACAGGGCAGAGGAAACTAAATAAGATGACTTACCTGAAGGCCTTGCGCAGTGCCTGAGCCCCAGCAGGTGCTCCAAAAGCGGTGTCATTAATCACTAACATCTTCTCCCCTACAAGCCTGGAAGTGACTTGGAGTTCCCTAATTTACTTTTTTGCTCCCAGTGCCTTATACGTTCCTTGAACGTGGCAGCTACTCAACAAAATCTCCATGCATTGAACTCCCCTGCACTTGACCCGTTTACTTGTATCAACGCCCCCAAAAAATCCCAGAAAAAAATAAACACACAAAGAGACGGCACATCACCTCGGCTAAAATATACTGTTAAGTCTATGCACCAGGATATCGTACAGCTCCTTACTACACCCAACTTTCTGATCTCTGGAAGTCCCAGTAGTTACTACTTACATGGTTAATTTCAAAGAAAAATTACCAGGTTATCACTTTTTTTCCACGGCAGTCCCTTATTCCAGCCCTCAGACCACACTGTTTCTGCATTTCCACGGACACGCCGCCTCCTGCTTGCTCTTCCTGCACACGGACGCCAGTGGCTCTGCCTCGCAAGAGTTTAATTTCTATGCTGCCACAGCAGGGAAACAAACTGTCCCCGAGCACGAGTACAGGGGAAGGCCAAGGCCACTAACAAAGAATGCGAACTTTTACATCCAGAGCCCTCAAGCCGTGTGCTCAGAAACGAACTTCAGTCCGAAAGCTTCCCACCGAGCGTGCGCTCCCGCTCTGACAGCACCGGGGCTGGAGAGCATTGTCTGGGGAGCAACGCCGCGGCCGGCCAACTTTTCGCTAAAGATGGTGCCATCCTATTCGGAACAAAGTGAAAGGTCAACGGAGCGGAGGGAGAGCGCCGAGAGCAGGGCCAGCTCGCCCGGGCCGGCGCTCCAAAGTTGGCCGGCCCCGCACTTTCCCTTTTGTCCTCGCACCCTCCTCTCTCCCGGGCCGAGGCCCACCGGGCGGACCCGGC